CCAGAAAGGGTGACAGCTGTAGGCGAGTTGTAGGCAGCGACGCACAAACGACCCTTGAACATAGGCAGGTCGCAAAGCTCGTTCGCGTCCTCTGCAGATGCGCCAGCGGCCATCATGGCTCCAGGCTTGTCGGATGGACACATGGTCGAATAGTAACCCCGGTAGTACGCGATCTTGACCGCCTCTGCTCGGGTGATGAACCCTTTGGCGTAGGCTGCGGCAATCTCGCCCGAGGAGTGGCCGATGATCGCATGGAAGCTAACGCCTGCGCTGCGGAGAAGATCGTACAGGATAATCTCGATCGTGGTTGTGAGTGGCTGTGCATATGCAGCTTCTGCGACGCGAGATTCCGAGGCATTGCATGTGAGCTGGTCCACAAGTGTCCAACCTGGTCTGTGTGGCTCGGGAAGACGCTGCAGTTCACGATCCAGATCTTCGACTATTGTCCTGACATACGGGCTCTTCATCAAGCCTTTGCCCATAGTTGGCCACTGTGCACCCTGGCCAGTGAACACGCCCAGGATCTGTACTGGTCGCGAGAGTTCTCTCGCACGGATGCCAAAACTGGAGCCAGTACTTCCCTCCGACGATGCCGCCAGTAAGTCGTCAATCTTGGCCCGGAGGTCCTCCGCCGACTTTGCCGATATGCTGGCTCGGATTGCATGATGGGATCTTCGAGCATACAAGGTGTAGGAAAGATCACCAAGATCGACAGTAGGATGAGATTGAAGGTATTTCGAGTAGTAAGACAAGACTCCTCGTAATGCACTGCTAGATGCAGCTGAGAAGCTGAAGGGTGAGAACAGCGGAGTGGAAAGAGTCGTACTGTCCGGTGTAGGGGTGTCAGTGGAAGGCAGAAAGTTCTCGATGATGACATGCGCGTTGGTACCCCCGAAGCCGAAGCTGTTGACACTGGCACGGCGAATACCATCCGCGAGATTTGGCCATGGTTTGGAGCTTGTCGCAATCTCGAGATTAGTGTAGAACGGCTCCACGGCAGGATGAAGTTTGTTGAAAAGCAGATTGGGTGGTATGACGCCGTGCTGTACTGCGAGAGAGGCTTTGAGGAGACCAGCCAATCCCGCAGTACCCTCGGTATGTCCAATGACGGTCTTGATGGAGCCAACGTAGAGTGGATCGCCCTTGTGGGACGTGCTATCGCCGGGGTGGAAGAAGGCTTTGCTGATAGCCTCAGCTTCCTTTGGATCGCCAGCCGCAGTTCCAGTTCCGTGCGCCTCAAAGTATTGGCAGCGCTGATTGGGGTCTTTTGGATCCAGTCCAGCCTTCTTGTAAGTCTGCTCGATGAGATCCATCTGTGCAGAGGCACTTGGCATGGTGATACCTTTCGTTCGACCATCCTGGTTGACTCCACTCTCTCGAATGATGCACTCGATCTTGTCGCCGTCGGCGATCGCAGTGCTGAGGCGCTTCAAGATCACAGAAGCTACACCCTCACCACGCGCATACCCGCTAGCATCAGCATCCCACATGCGGGACCGACTATCGGCCGACAACATGTGTAGCGAGCTCTCGGCAATATACTGCCCCGACCCAAGGATCATGTTAACTCCCGCTGCGACCGCAACGTCCGAGTCGCCGCTTCGCAGCAACTGGACTGCTTGGTGCACCGCGACCAGGCTGGAGGAGCACGCGGTGTCGATGGTCATACAGGGGCCATGCCAGTCGAAGAAGTACGAAATGCGGTTCGACATGATACTTCTAGCCGTACCTGTCGGAGCATAGGTCGGCAAAGTGTCGACATCTTTGTGCAAATGGTCGTGGTAGTCAGCACACATGAGTCCAACGTAGACCCCGGTACGAGAGCCGATCATGGATTCCAGCGGTATTCCCGCCGCCTCCAGCGATTCGTAGACCACTTCCATCAGCAGGCGCTGCTGTGGATCAATGGCGGCTACTTCAACGGGCTTGATATTGAAGAACCCCGCGTCGAAGTGACGATGGTCCTCATCGAGAAAGTACGACTCCCGGACATCCGTCGTTGCGTGGTGGTTCGGGTCCGGATGGTAGAAGTTGTCGATGTTGAAACGATCCTCCGGGATGCGCTTGAGAAGATCGCGCGGATTGAGCAGAAGCTCCCAGAGTTTGGATGAATTGTTCGATGAGCCAGGGAAGCGCATGCCGCTTCCAATAACGGCGATTGGCTCTGCATTTCCATGTGAAGCGTCGCGGTGGGCAGTCATTGTGATGCAAGATGGTCGTATAACTTGGGACACGGTGTTGAAACTCGTCAATGATCAAAGTCGCGCGGAAGGATGTGGTGAGTCAATGTCTTTTGGTCAACTAATGTCTTTCATTCGTACTATCGAACTACACTACCACCCACTAACTTGCATACAAATGCTCACTCAGGGCGGCCCCAACTGTCCTGTGGCGTTCTTGACTTCGGCTTCCCGTCCCAACATCAGCATTCGCGAGGATTGGAGTCGTTGTCTCTCAGGCTGATGTATTTCGGGATCGGTGTCAGACTCGTAAGAACAGCCAGTCCGATTCGGGCCTCTACGTGGGCTCCGTGTGCGAAAGAAGAATCCGGAGCGGATAAAGATGTTGTGAAGAAACTGTAGCCTGGTCGCGTTAGTACCGAGCATGCAACGTCGGTACTTTTCTCTTTCGATATGGGTAGCAAAAATACCGAATAGTCTGCTGGGCCACGGTATCGGTACTATCCTGTAGTAGCGCTGAGGCTGCACCCACTTGTAGTGAAGGAAAATCGTAAGTACCGAAATGATGACACAATATATAGGCGGATAGGTTTTTCTTCCACATTCTTGCCCATTCGACCGTCAGACACGACCCTCAAACATACTCTCTGTTCATCTCTACCTATCCAAGCGAGCACGCAGTTGTGACCAAGTCCAGCGAGGCAGAATCGAGTCGTCGGTCCAGCGGATCATCCAGGCAAGGACACTAGCATCAGGCATAGTAAGTTCATTCATCAATCAGGCAACGTGTGCAACATGCTGACCTTATCTTCAAGGCCTTCTTCACTTTCCTACAGAAAACATGCCGTCAGGACCAGTCATAAGTGACTGGATCTGCAAGTCGCTAGTCTTCTTTCTCGCTATCGCCATGCAAGCGCGCCTGACCACGAAGCTCACGCCCGGTTTCTCTAAAAACCTCGAAGAGAGACTACCTGACCACAATAGAGTGCTGTTTTCATGGTGGCTGAACCCTTCGGATCAGCAGCTGAAAGCTTTCATGCTCGGCGTCAGTGCCTTCCTCTCGGTCGTGCTCTGGGTACCGAGCCTCCGTGGTATCGGGCTGCCAATGGGCGTCGTCTTGTCTATAACAGGGCTTTACTCTGACTTGCAGTTGAAGGAAAGCTTCATTCCGCACACTGCTCTTTTGTTAATGTGCTGCGCTGCGCTGTATCTGGAGTAGTAGAGAGGGGTGTTATGAGGGCCATGGATATTGTGCTGGACAATGTAGCATGCACTTCGGTGACCTGGCGTCATCAATGTAGCTGTGCGCGTGCAATATTTCACTTTGTCAGGTATCCTATCAATAAATCATGAGCTCTTGGCTTAGATCAGCTGTATGTATACCAATCATGTATACCGCCTCTATCCAAAAGTTACGAGTCTTTCATCTTCTAGTAGGAAAGTTTCTTCGAATCAAAGAGCCTCCGGCAGACGGTCCGCTAGCGTGACGCTAGTAGGTGGGTCCCGAGGTCGGGGCGTAAACGATCAAAGCTTCATCCCTTAAACACCCGTGAACGTGTGCAGTCATCCGCTATACAGCTCGTATCGCGAGCACATCGCACGCCTAAAAGGACCTTGTTGAGCATTGAGAGTGGTTCACGATCATCATTTTACACCCGCCTTGGCGATATACTGCGAGCTTGGAAATTGCAATCTACTGCCCCCACCCGTACTCCGCCCTCTCATTCCCGCCCCCTTTGACCCCGTCACCCACATTGTCCTCGTCAACCTGCTCGCCATCATCCATCACAACGCCTTAAGCGCCGCAGTAATAAAGCACAACCAAGCCGGCAGATCTGTAGTCCAAGCTCTGATCCAATTCATCCGAAGCCAGGACTCCATGGAGATAACGACATTACCATTGGGAATGTTTTTCTCGATAGCTGTTATGCGGCGCAGAGCCGTTGGCGCAAACAGCATATGAGCTAGACTGAAGAATAGTCCCCATGTATACCACGTCGTCGAGCCGAACTGATGCCCCGGTATAAGCAGATTGAGAATGCCGAGAAGGTAGCCGACGGGGTAGAAGACGATCAGCACCCACTGCCATCGAAGGCCGCCCCTAGTCCACCAGGCGGGAAGACTAGAGTTTGCTAACGGGCGAATGGGGTCCTGCACCCAAGTTCCGAACATCAGGTGCTCGTCGAGGGCGAACATGAGGGTCATGGAGGATACGAGCGCCGGACTGAGGCGGAGAAGCCGGAGAGCAATCTCCGCGAGTGACATGGCTGGCAGATGGGTAGGTGGGTAAGAATTTAATGTTGGCAGAGTTCAAGGAGCTGACTTCCGTGCTTCCAAATCAAGAAATCCTTGACATTTGCGACGCTTTGGAGATGATAGCTGGAAGGTCACCTTGTTGCTCGCAATTTATCCCTGCAATTGCATCAGTTTTTCTGCTCCCGAAGGTGTGTGGGACGTGTGTTGTGGGAAAACTGGAAAGTCCCGAAAACCTGGGCACGTCTGACCGTCTGACAGCGCGTGCATATCACGCCACTCGGCTACCACGTCCCAGAAAGTCCACCGAAGCCCATTCGGCTCGGATTCCCCCCTTGATGCTGGGTAGCGTCATATTCACGGGCGTGGTGTGTGTTCAGTAATGATTCGTAACACCTGAAGGCGTCTTACAGTATGTGGGGGTATCTTGCCCAGACTGAGTGCCGGAGGATACAATTTGTAAAGTTTACAGAAGGTGATGATACCTTGTCTAGCGTCCTAGTAACGATATGTATGAGGATCTATTTGCTCGCAATGCCGCTCGGTGCTGTTACACATCGATGCCTTTTACACTGGCTTGTACACAAGCTCATGTAGTCTGCGAATCTCCTCCTTCAGCGCCTTGGTCCCTGCTCTATCTGCTGAGCCATTTCCGCATCCTTCACTTTTCAACATGAGCTCGAGGAGGTGCCGGGGGATAACACTACCGCGAGTCTCGCTGTCGCATCCATCGCCATCTGAACCGGCCTCGTGATCATTCGGGTAGCCCAGTAAACGGCCAATTCTGTCTACCATTCTAATTACAGCTTGAATAAGGACAATGATCTGCAGATCTGGATCGGGAGGCAAGGAGACGTCAACTATGTTGAGAAACGAGATCGTAAAGAGATTGATTTGGCGGCGTGTGGCGAGTAACGCTGCTCGAATGGCGGAAAAGGTATTTCGACAGTGATGTAGAAGATTTGCGTGGCAAGATAGTAACAGCAGGCTCGTAGGCATGTCAACACTACTGCTCTGAGACGTCTGGTGCAATACAGCGAAGTCAACACTGCTATCTGTGCGACGCCGTTTCAGCGGCGACCGGCCTGTCGTGTCAGACATGTAGCTTTTTGACTCATCAACGTCCAATCCTTCGATTGGGCTCAGCCAACTACTGGTTACAGTGCTAGACTTGGGATTGTCGTGTGAGTCGTAGATAGCCGAGTGATTGGATCCGACGATGTCGACGAGCAGCCTGTGGTAGGTTTGAAGGCTTTGCGTCATAAAGATGACAGTATCGCAGAGAGTACGATTCTCCTCTGGTGGTGTAGCCAAAGCTGTCACACCCAAACCCGAGTGGATGTTCGTTGACCCGGCCCCTGTAGAGGTTGCGGCCCCCAATTGTCGGGACAGCTGCATATTCAAGTCTGACAGCTCTTGCATTGTCTCTTGGCGCATGAGTGAAAAGCAACCGCGTCCGTTGAGTGGCTCGGTAGAATCGATTGTAGGTCGTTCGTCTTCCGTGAGTGTTGGAATGGACTGGCCCGTGGAAAGATCCATCATCGGAAGGAGGAAGTGTTCGGTCGGAAGATTCATCGAATCGTCTTCGAGTGTGGCTTCCCCAGCGAGTGCAAAGTCGAAGGGGTCCAGGTACTGAACTGTGACACTTTGTAGCGCTGGGTCAATCGGTGTATCGTCGAGATCATGTACTAGCCAAGCGTCGCTGTCCATGGTAAAGTCGACAGCGGTTCTCGTTTGAGATGAATCGTTGAGAAGAGGTGATGATCGCGTGGGTTGGGATGGGTTGTGAGCACTGTCGCTGCTCTCTCGAGACTGTTCCTTGTCTGCCCGTCTCGGTCTACCCATCCGTATCCCGGTATCGATGATACATGTTGCCCCGGCTTTCTGGCACCTCTCACAAGGGGCCTTGGAATTCGAGCTCCGTATGCATCGCAGCTTCTGACCGCGACATCTGTCACATGCCAGCTGTTGGGACTTCTCTTTCTTTGGGGTCTCCACATTAGAACCCGACTTGCAACCCGAGAAGCAGCTGGAAGAATCTAGACGTGGCATGTTGGGAACAAAGAAAGGTCCGCGAGTAAACCATGCGAGGACATGCTAGGTCGGTAGCACCTAGAAAGGTAAGGACGAACGATGGTGATAGTGCGAACTATATGCCGTGACTCCCCAATGTATGGATTGAGGCTAGTCTTCAGCTACAGAAGCAAGTGAGACTCCTCGGCAAGCTTGCGATATTGCTATGACCAGCTTACGTGAGGCTAATGATGTACAGCAGAGAACCTTGTAGAACACGAGGAAGATGATAGGACTGACTCTATTGTTGTCTTATCCCGCAGAATAGGTTCTTATCTCAGGTCCCAGAGCGGCGTGCTGCTGCTGCCAGGCAGAGAGTTGGTGGTGGAGACCCAACGACCACTCAATCAAGAAACCTGCTCTCCCGAGCGTTGAACGAGGAGGAGCCGAATGCTAGCTGAGGTGTGCAGCTGTGGCATAAATGCAATGTGTTAGTGGATGGAAGATAAAGCCAATGTCTCTAAGGACACCCGTTTGGCTCCTCGTCCAAATGGCGGGACATAATGGGACTTGCCGTGAAGGATTCAAGGTCGCCGAGACTTTTGAACTTGCAGGACGCATGGCAAACCATTCGTTCATTAAGCGAAGGCGTGGCAGTACGACCCGAAAGTGCGACCCAACCTTGAAAGCATGCGTTACAGTGCGACCCCAAACGCGGGATACGGCGGCGGGCCGTTGGGCCACCCGTAGGAGCCACCCGTGGGCTGCCCAGGTGGGTGGGGATCTGATTGCGAACTCACGCCAGGGGGCCTCACATGGACTTCTCCGCGACGGCTTGAGTAAGGCTTTATCCTTTCTTCGTCACGCTAATAGCCGTCGTCATCTATTGCGTCATTTGCTCGTTGGATTTAATATGTATATGAGACATGCGGGTGTGCCTAGCTACGATGCTTACGGAAAGTGTTGCGGTAACCATCTGTGGCTGGAGATGTTACTTCGTGCCGGCAAAAACGCCGGCACGCTAACCAAAACAAGGTACGGAATATATACACCGGTGGAAGGCAGCGAGGTACTTACCAACATGTGTCTGCGGGCTTTGTCACACTTGAAAGCAGTAGCTTTCAAGCCACCTGCAGGAAGCCTGTCGACCGAGCTGAGACAATTCCACTTCCAACATCTAGCCGCGGAGGATCGCAAAACCCTGCGAGGTTGAGTATAGCCCACCCAGTAAAACCCTCCGCGGTGATGGCCAGGCTTCTTCCAGCCTTGAATACGTAGTTACAGACAGTTCCTCACATGCAACCCAAGGTGCGAATACTTCCGGACGTTCCATCAACTTCCTGTACCAAGGTTTCAACACAGCCCGTTGCCTACGCATCATCGTACTACAAATCTGGTACCAACCACACGGTCAGCCTATCGCCAAAAAGGTCGAACGATCCTTCCAACTGGCATTCCTGTTTTGTGAGATGACACACCAAAACTCAGCCGCTCCGAACTCGGAGTCAAATGAAGCTTCGGTCGATGCCCAGGATGCGACAACGGAAAAAAACCCACCAAAGTTCCAGAAAGGTCCAAGATTCTGGGCCATCATGGTCGTCCTCTCACTAGTGAGCCTTCTCACGGCTTTGGAGGCCACAGTTACCTCGACGGTTATGCCATCTCTCGTCGCAGATCTGGGTGGGGGCGAAGAATTCATCTGGGTTTCTAATGCATACTTCTTGACCATGTAAGCATCTCTAGAACTGAAGTCTTGTGCTTGAGCGATGAACGAGTAACTGATTCATATAGGACTTCTTTGATGCCCATGTATGGACAGCTCGCAAATGTATTCGGTCGTCGGTGGCCCATGATCATATCAGCGGTCATTTTCATGATAGGGAGTGGTGTTTGTGGCGGGTAAGTTATCACACCCTTGACATCCGACTCGCGATCCAATTTCTTCGTTTCAAGCTCGAAGTCTTTGCTGATGAGAGAATGAATGCGCAGAGCGACCAACATATCCCAAATGATCGGCGGTCGAGTGGTACAGGGGATTGGAGCAGCAGGAGTCGCCGTCCTCTGCGAGATTATCATCTGCGACTTGGTACCGCTTCGAGAGAGGGGAACCTACATGGGCGCCGTGTTTGGCATGGTCGGTCTCGGTGCTGCTCTTGGTCCTTTCTTTGGCGGACTGCTCGTGAGTTACAGCACCTGGCGCTGGGCTTTCTACATGGCTCTTCCCATCGGCGGCGTTGCGGTCGTACTGCTATTCGCCTTTCTGAAGGTCAAATACGACAAATCTCAGACTTGGGCCACCAAGGCTTCGAGTCTCGACTGGCTGGGCAACGCACTTTTCGTCAGTGGTTGTGCCCCGGTCCTACTTGCCGTTAGCTGGGCAGGAGGCAGATATCCATGGTCATCTTACCAAGTCCTCGTACCGCTCTTGCTTGGTTTGGCCACATTGGGGGGCTTCATCGTACTCGAAGGCAATGCTCGCCTGACGCCAAATCCCATCATGCCACTCCATCTTTTCGGTAACTCCATGAGCCTCATCGTCTTCCTCCTCGCCTTTCTCCACGGTATTGTCACTATGTGGGCGCTTTACTTCCTCCCAGTATACTTCCAAGGCGTTCTCGCAGTAGATGCATACAAGGCCGGCATCTATCTTCTTCCCACCATCCTCGCACTTCTCCCAGGCGCTATCGGCGGCGGGTTGCTACTCAGCAAGTTCGGTCGCTACAAGCCCATTCTCGCCACTTCCTTCGCCTTAATCGTCATCGGGTTTGGCGTATTCACGCTTCTGGATGAGTCGTCGAGTGCAGGCGCGTGGGTGGGCTTCCAGGTGATTGAATCCTTTGGCGCGGGCTTCGGCATGGGGGCCATGCTCCCCGCGCTACTAGCCTCTTTGAGCGACAAGGATACAGCAGTAGCGACGGCCACGTGGGGCTTCATGCGAAGCTTCGGCGTTTTGTGGGGCGTGGCCATCGCCGGTACCACCTACACCAACCGCGCTGCGCAGCTGGCTCGCTCAGGTGCCATCAGCGACAAGATGGTAGCTGCTCAATTTATGACGGGCGGCGCATACGCGGCAGCCGAGGTCGACTTCCTTGACACGCTGTTCGCTCAGGTGCGTGCGCAAGTAATATCTGTACAGAGCACCGCGCTCCAGCGATCATGGCAGGTTGCCATCGCCTTTGGTGGAGTGGGCTTCATTGCTGCTGCTTTGCTGAAGCAGGTGCCGCTTAGAAGGGAGAACGACACTGAATTTGGCATGACAGACAGTAAAGACAAGCCCACCGAGGAGGAAGCGAAAGGTGCAACAAAGGCTGAGGCTCCAGCATCGTGATTCTATTACCTGAATGCCAACAGAATGGGATTTGATAGACCAAGGCGAACCCAGCGCTAGCTACAGGTATCGAAGATTGCGGGAAACTTCCCTGCTTCGATGCAAGCCACCGCATACATAGAATCTTTCCAAGCGGAACGAACATTTAGATCCACCGCTCAACGATGTGCTAGTAACAACGATTAGTTGATATACAGAGTTCCAGAGCTTCAAATCAAAGTACACGAGGCAGAATGCATCGCGTGCCACCGTGAACTCCAAAGGACGGCTACTACGCTCCTTCACACGCACCTCGACATGGCCCGGGTTTAAAGTGGGACGATGGCTGCTGATTGGCTAACCACAAACCCTCCTCGGGGGGTTTCCCCACGTGACTAATTCACGCAACAACAGTCAGCCGTGCCTGGTCAAATCATACGAAATCTCTCCTTTAACTCGGTTGGGTTGCATTCCCATTTCCGCGCCTATCTAAGCACTACACCAACTATGCACAAGTCCGCAGTACGCCGCTCCGCATGCGACCAGTGCAGAGCAAAGCGGGTTCGATGCCTTCGAGCCCAAGACAGCACGGCGGCGTGCGCTCGCTGCTGCTACATGGGCGCGCAATGCGTAACAGGCGCCGCCGGTCACCCTGGAAGACCGCCTAAGCAGCGTCATGCCGTCGCCTCGCCCAGAGCCCAACGCACGTCGACGTTGCGAGATGTCAACCACGAAAACGCTCATGCAACTGCGACGTCAATGGTTCCCACGCCTACAAAAGCGAATGAATCCGCCATGCACCTCCCTTCGCCAAGAGACCCTGCTGCTCATGAGCCTTTACCAGATTTCTGGGGTGCGACGGGCGATATCTCCGCTTTCTTCGACTCTTATCCCTCTTCGATGGATCAAAGTCCTATGTCGGGGGAAGACAGCGTCTCCCTAGCGGATCAGCTTGGCACTACATCGCAGTATCAGGGGTTCCTAGGTGCAAACGATGAATTCGACATGATGCTTCGTATGGACGAGGTTCCTAGCACTGGTCTTGATTCGAATATCGGCCCGCTGCTTGATCGTGGGGAGATTTCCCAGGACCCAACGCCACTACCGCAATTCTCCACCGCCGCAAGCTCTCTAGTAATGTTCCGAGAGGAGATAGACCAGCGCATCGCGACAATCGACACATACTACTCAAATGCTACCAAAGTTCAACAGCGTTGCAAGGATGAGGCTGCGGGAAGAGATGTCGAGAATCCAGCAGCTTTACTCCTGACATGCACCAAAGAGTTCACCGGAATTATCCAAAACCTTACGCCAGCGAGGCAGATACACATGCAGACCGAAAATACACTAAACACAGAAACCCTACTCCTAATTTTGTCTAGCTACCTGG